TTGGCTGCGCTACCAGTCCATCGCGGGCCCGCCCCCAGCACATGGTTGGGACTGAGCGCGGGGTGCACCGGTATCCTTCGCTTAGGTGCGGCCTCTGCCTGGAGCTGACCGGGGCTCCTCCCTGCGCTCCCCCGCACCTGCTCTGCTTTGTCCTGCCCTCATTGCCCCCTTCGCCCGGAGTGGTCGGGAAGGTGTTTATCAGGCACAGACTGCACGACCTCTAACCGCGCAGCGTCCCTTGGCGCCTCTCCAATCCGCTATGAGTCCCGAAGCCCTCACCCCTAAGGCTGAGGCCTGGTGGATGCGTCCCGGGCAAACAATCCGCCTTTCCAATTTCTCAGTGGTTTCCCGCCTTAGAGAATGAAAGATCTCTTTCTACTGTTGGCATATTTCGCTAGTGACCCCAGCTCCCCAAGTAAAATCGACCCTCCAGGGTTTGTACCCCTGGCCCAAGTGTCATCGAGGGCCGAGGGACCAAGGCACCCTCGCTGAGATCCCCAGAGCGGCGGGCGAGAAGGGTTGGAGTGGGCTGGAAGCACGGGTCCCCGCTCCCCACTTAGACGTGTGCTCCCCTCTTACCAAAGACTCGCCCCGACATCCCCTGCATTTTCAAGCTAATGGCTCATGGATCCTCTTTAACCAAGCTCAGAATTCTTTTACACACAAGGGGCGCCTTTTCTCAGGATGCTAAGCGGGAACCCCTGGCTCCAGGTAGGAACCGCAGCGTGTGACCTGACCTCCGTGTATTTGAATATCAGGAGCTTCCCTGGGCTGGGTCACAAGGTCACTGGCCTGCCAGTCACCCAGTGTCCAGTTCTGGGAAAGACACGTTACCCATTTTAGGACCATTGTTATAGGGGTTCTGAGCCGGATCCTACTTATGCATGAGGAAACGGGCTGGGAAGGTCTCCAGCCACTCCAACCTGTCCCGGGGGACAGGACTTGCCCTTCTGTGCTGCCCAGAGGGACATACCCCACGGGCGGGCAGGGGCTGGGGAGGAAGCAGTGCTTGGGAGAGCGCCAGACCCCCGACGGCAGGGAAGGAAGCTGGCTGTAGATTGTCTTCAGCTCTTCCGAGCTCTGCAGAGCTCAGGGACTGTGTGACCCTGCAGGTTGTCAGGTGACGGTGGACAGGATAGGAGGACCAGACGGAGAATGGAGTGAGACCACGCCAGTGTGGGGTACTTGCCTCCTCCTCCCTTTGCTGCACCAGGAGGAAGACCTTGTGTCCCTCACACTCTCTCCTGATGGCCTAGGTTCTGGGCCCTTCTGTCCCCCTTCAGATCTGCCACCAGCACCACCTCCCTGTTCAGAGTCCAGGAAGGCTCCCAACGGATCTGGCCCGAGTTTGGGCCCTTGTGTGACCTGCGGGGACCACGTATTGTCAGGCGCTGCCCCGGGCTGGCTCAGGAGGTCACAACTCTGACCTTCGCCAAGTGTCCAGTCCGGGGGAGGACGGGCAGTATCGATTTCAGGAATGCTGGGATTCATGGGTCTCTGGGAAGGCCAGCAGACCCCCCCGAGGAAGGCAGCCGGGCTCTGGAGGCTGTAGGAGGACCCGCAGGTCCAGAGCGTGGAGGGAAGAGCCGGGTGGTTTGATGAAAGCATTCGGAGAGGGGGATAAAATTGGTTGTGAGAGTCTGGGAGCGAGGAAAGAGTGAGTGATAGAATCACGTGAGTCTGACAGGGTCTGGGGTCGGGGCCACACATTCAGGTCATGCGGAGTAGCTGGATGTGGGAGGATTTAGGAGGTGAGCAGCAGTGCTAGATGACTGCAGGTTTCTATCAGGGCCTCCGTTTCCCCCTTTCCAAGCAGATGGGTAGTTGTGGGACGCCCCGCCCCGGGCTGTTCCGTCAGAGCCTGGAGGAGCCGGGTCGACTGGGATCAGAGAGACGTGAGTTCAAACCCTGACTGCCACTAGCGCCCTCCTCTGGGCGCCTTCTGTAGACTGGGAGTGGACGCAGCGCCTGCCCACCGCGAATGCTCACCGAGGGCGGCCACCCCGTGACCTGGTGTGACCGCGGCCCTCGTGGAGGACCCAGACCCCGGCTTCCCCGCCTTCACTTGTGCGCATCCCGCAGGCTCCTGCGCACCCCCCAACTTCCAGTGCCGCACCAGTGGCTTCTGCGTTCCCCTCCCCTGGCGGTGTGATGGCGACTGGGACTGCGCGGACGGCAGCGATGAGGAGGAGTGCAGTGAGTGGCCAGGCCCGAGGCCCCCTCCCAGGGAAGGTGGGGCCCCGGGGGCCGGGCTGTGGGCGGGGCCTGCCACGCTGGGCGAAGTAGAAGGTGTGCGGTCCAAAACAGAAGAGTGCGCTTCAGAGGTAGACTTCTGAGGAGGCGGGGCCGGTGGGGGGTGGGGGCGGAGCTCCGGAGGCGTCTAGCCCTTGGGAGGTGGGGCTCGTAGGGGCAGGGGGCGGGGTCCTCACCAGCTCAGCCGTCCTTAGAAGGCGGGACTTACGGGAAAACTGGCACCCTGAGCGCTAGGTTTTCGGGGAAGAGCATTTGTGACTTTGATCATTCGCTCCAGGGATCCAGCCGTGTGCCCAGAACGGGCAGTGCCCACTGCCCCGGGACCCTCCTTGTTTCTGTGACAGCATCAGCCATTGCCCTGGTGGCACTGACAAGAACCTGCACAACTGCAGCCGCCGCCAGCCCTGTCCCCTGGGCCAGCTGCCCTGCAAGGTGGGGGACACCTGTGTCCCACACACGTGGCACTGTGACAACCACCCGGACTGTCCAGACGCCAGCGACGAGCTGGGCTGCGGTGCGTGTCCTGGGGACATGGCGGGCCTGTGTGGGTGGGGAGGGCTGGTGGCTCGCCGGGACTCCTGAGATGCCCAGGCCACATTCCCACCACATCCACTCGGTCTGGGACCAGCATGAGCCCCTGGGGTCCCCCTGAGGGCACCCTGCGTTCCATCTCTGCAGAAATCAAGGAGACCTTCCAGGAAGGCCACACCACCCTGGGGGACCCCGTGACCCTGGAGGCCGTCGCCTCTCTCACAAATGCCACAGCCTCTTCTGTTGGGGACCTGTCTGGGAACCCAAGTGCCTACGGGGTCATTGCCGCTGCTGGTAAGACGGACAGGTCCTTTCAGGCCCTTTTGTGACAGGGCTGGGAGCAGCCGCTCTGGGACCAGGGAGGGGACAGGCTGTGGCCACCCTGTTCCCACGCACTGGGTGCTGGGGGGTGGCACTTCCCTCCCCTCCCTCCCTGCACTGTCCTCTGCCTGTGCCCCCTGCAGGGTTGCTGGGTGTCACCCTGGCCGCTGTCACCCTCCTGGTGCTGTTCCAGCTCCGAGCCCAAGGGTCCCTGCACCTGCCAAGGCTGTTGGTGGCCATGAAGGAGTCCCTGGTGCTGTCAGAACGGAAGAGCTCAGTGCTCTGAAGGTCGCCGTCACCTCTGCTGCTTGTCACTGCTCGGCCCTGACTGCAGCCAGTCTGAGGGAGACCGCGGTGGGGACACATGGGCAGTGTCCCAGCCCTCCGGAACCTGGCTGTTCTGGCTCCTGCAGACGTGGCTTGGAGACTGGTGTCCCCGCATGGTCCCCTCGAACTTGGGGAGCGAGGGTGGAGGAGGAGAAGGTGCCTTGGGTGGAACCAGGCTCAGATGTCTTCCTGGGCTTGCACTCCTGTCCGCTCCCCCAGGGCAGGGATTAAAGCCCTGGACATCCTCGCCGCCTCTGGCCTCTGTCTTCCTTGGCCCAGGCAGCCTGGGGGCTCTGTCGTGCCCCCTCACCCAGGGCGAAGCGCACGGTGCAGAGAAGGCGGGACTCGGGGTTCCATCCCAGTCACCCCCTTAGCCGCTGTGCCTCTTGCTTCTTGGCAAGGGAGCAAGTGATGGTGGAAAGGGGCGGCTTCAGGGGACAGCGCAGCCCAGGTACTGTCTGTTCCTTGGTTTTATGGTAGGGTTAGACCAACTGAACAAAAAAAACTGGCAAGAGCTGGGAGTGGTGGCACCTGACCTGTGATCCCAGCCCTGGGGAGGCTAAGATGGAAGGGTCGCCTTGAGTTTGAGGACCCTGCCTCAGAAAATCAAAGCAAACCAAAACAAAAAAGAACACCCATGGGTGTAGTGGTACACACCTGCAATACAACACTCTGGGAGGCTGAGGCAAGAGAATTGCAAGTTCAAGCCCAGCCCTCACAATTTAGAAATTTAGCAAGAACCTGTCCCAACAAAAAAAGGTCTGAGGAGTGTAGTTCAGTGTGAGGGTTCTGGGTTGAATCCCTACTACCACACATCCACAAACCCTCACGGTTCCTTGGGGGTAGAATACACTGGCCAACCCACACTGGGCCCACAGAGAGGCACAGTGAGGACGGGCTGCTCCTACTGTCTGGGACCGGCCCTGGGCTAGGGCAAGCAGCTGCTGTCCCATGCGGTGAGGACCCAATAAAAGGTGGTTGCTTTGCCAGCGCAAGGCTGGCTCAAGTGCTCTCCGCCTGCAGATGGTTTGTGAGGCTGGGCAGGGACCTGGTTGCTCAGTGAGAGCTAAGACCTGGGCCGTAAGGCACACACCCTGGGGCTTGGGAGGTAGGGCTGTAGACTTCTGAGCTCAGGGTTTTTCTGTTTGTTTTTTTGAGGCCGAGTGCTGTAGTTCTGGCTGTCCTTGAACTCACTGTCTTAATTCCCCCCACACCTTGCTAATTACTGAGTTGCCCCAGATGGGCTCCAACTTTGATGATCCTCCTGCCTTGTCCTCCCAGACTGCTGGGGTGCCAGTTACATGCCAGTCCCCACATAATCGAGAAGAGCTGTTCCCTCACTTCTCAGGCACGGGCAGCCACCACAGACCACAGAGGGGTCAGGTGCGTGCCGGGTGTGAAGCCACCTGTCTCCAGAGTGGATGTCTGCGGCGTGCGGACTTCTGAGGGTGTCCTTCGGGTGTCCTCACTGAACCAACTGCCCCAGGTCGGATGGCTCTGCGCCCCGTTCTTTCCCAGCACGGTGCCTGCCAGTCTCCGGGGACAAGGCTGCCATCTGCTCCCTGCGTGAGGGTTGTTGGGGACACCCAGGGCCCCTGCATGTGGTCTCCCTAGCAGGCTGGGGAGTCGGGGCTCCTGCAGTGCACGGTAGAAGCTGCCGGGCCAGTGTCCGGTTCGCTAGTGTGTGTGGACCATGCCGAAACCTGAGAACCCGAGCCTCTGCTGGGGCCAGTCTCGCACAGTGACTGCCTCAAGCTGGCAGAGGGCGCCAGCGAGCCAGGAATGGCAGAGGCGGGAAGTGAGGGTCCCCCAAGCCCTCAAGCCGCCTCCCAACCCTGCTGTGTCCGTGAGTGGGGCACTGGGGCCCCACATGGGGTCTGGGCTCTGATACCTCGGGCGGGTGTATCAGAAGGGGACTTTAGCTCTGGGCCCCTGCACCCATGGGGACAAGTGGCCTAACTCCAGTCAGCTGAGCCCCTGGGGGTCCACTTGTCCTGCTTGGGTACCCTGGGATTTGGGGGCTCTGTCCCCTCTGGCCAGCTTGCTTATCTGCTAGCAGCATGTCCTGTCCCTAAGAACCGGCTGGGTGAGTCATTTCCAGGAAAGTATTTGTTGTTTTTAAGACAAGAGTCTGCTAGGTAGCTCAGGCTATCCCTGAACTCTCTGTGTAGCCCATAAACTCATGGAGATCCTCCTGCTTCAGCCTCTGGAGTGGTGCAATTACAGATGTGCAGTGGGTGAGTTCTCCCGCTCAGGCAGAAGTGTGGCCCAAATGGGTCAGGACCCTGGGTCCCTTGCAGGGCCATCTCAGTGGTGAGTCTCAGGCTGTGCGCTGTGCCTCCGGGGGTGTTCAAAGTGACCCCGAGGGGAGGACAGGCAGGGCCAGGTAAGTTCTCAGCGTCCTGGAAGGGAGTAGGAGGCCATAGGAGGACGGGGAGGGGGCTTTGTCAACCCTCACTGTTCCTCCTGCCCTTCTTTGTTATTGAGGAAAATTCACGTAACCCAAAATTGCCACTTAGTATCTTTGCAGTGTTAGACAACCTCCATCCCTATCTGGTTACAGGAGGGTTTTTCTTTTTCTTTTGGTACTGGGGATCGAACTCAGGACCTTGTGTTTGGAGGCAGGTGGCGGCAGCACTGAGCTAACTCCCTGCCTGGGGTATTTTTCTCTTTTTATTTTTCAAGACGGTCTCACTGAGTAGCCCAGGGTGGCCTCGGATTCAGTGATCCTCCTGCCTCAGTACTTGGGACTCCCCCTTGTCACAATTAGGACAATTTGTATAGTCAGTGTACAGCCAATTAGTATGATCAATGTAGCATAAATTCACCTTTTGTGCTGGCCTCGCATAAGCACATGGAGGCTGTACACGGATGCGAAAAGATCATTTGCAAACACCATGGCTTTTATTACTATTTATTTTAATTTTTTGAGACAGAGTGTTGTTAAATTGCCCAGCCTGGGCTTAAATTTGTAGTCCTCCTGCCTCAGCCTCCTGAGTACTGGAATTACAGGGGTGCACCCCTATGCCCAGTTTAAGGTTCCTCTAGTATAACAAGTCGCTATGGCAGGATAGTGTAATTGGGGTGATAATGCTCTTAACTCTTTCACACACTGTTCACCGTAACCAGAATTGCCCACGCTGCGCTGGAACTTGCAATCCTGCTCCCTCAGCCTCCTGTGTACCGCACTCAGCCAATTTACTTTCAAAGGAGCTTAATTTAATGTGTGAATTTCACCTCCATAACAAAACCGAACGCAGGAGGGAGGGCACAGCCACGCCGCGCATGCTCACGGGTAGGACGCATCGGGGAAGCAGAATTGGGGTGGCTCCCTGCAAAGAGGACGGCAGGGAGCTGGGGAGGAGCAGGGTGAGGAGGCCGCTCCCTAAGAACAGAGCGCAATGCAGGAAGCGGCCTCTAGGTGGCGCCATCTGTCCGCACCGGGGCCCTAGGTTCACCTTGCCACCAGCCCATTTGGCAATTGGTCCGCCACGGAGCCACACTCCACTTTTAAATTGTATTTTTATTTAATTTATTTCAAATTTTATTTTGAGGCCTCCTGGCTAAGAGTCTAAGGCTGGGGTCAAATTTTTGAGATCCTCCTGCTTCGGCCTCTAGAATGGCTGGGATTACAGGCATGCGGCACCACCTCAGTCTAAAAAATTCCTCTTATGATTTGCCAGTTCGTATGTTGGCCCCACTGGTATCTGTGAGCTGTTTATTCATTTACTTATTTAAATAAATTTTATTTTAGCCCATCCCCCTCCTTAAACTCCCTCACTCTGAGAGCTCTTTTTGATTAGGGTAGTTTGGGGTCTCTCACCAGCCTCTTAAGTGACTGCTGGTCCAACTCTTCTCAGTTCTACAATTGGATGAGACCCCCCCCCCGTCAGAACTGAACTCTCATTGGCTGGGAACCACGTCCTTGGCTGCCTGATTGGTCCATGGGCTGCACATGATGACACAGGGCTATTCTGTGGGCTTCTGGGAGATTTTTCCTGCTTCCCGGAAGATGGCGGGATCCAGGATTGTCCTAGGATTCATCTCTCAGCCTCCGGAAGACAGAGCCACAAACACCAAAGCCACCTCAGAGCAAAACATTGTCTCTGACATTTATTGCTACAGAAGCCGAGAAATCCCTTTCAAAACCGAGGGGCGGACACATGTAATCCCAGCTGCTTGGGAGGCTGAGGCAGGAGGATTGCAAGTTTGAAGAGTATGGGTAGCTTAGGGAGACGCTGTGTCCAAAGAACAAAACAACAATGATAAAGATTGGGGCTTCTGCCATCTTCAGCGCCAGAAAGGTAGCCGCGCGGGCACCCCGAACCCACCCCCAACCTTTCCTCTCGCACTTTTAGACCTCCTGATTGTCCCAGTCTTTGGACCTACTCTGTAGAGGCAGAGGTGATCATAAAGAGTATTTTCTGGCACTTTCAACTTTGAACATCTTTAAAGAAGTGGTGGGGGAAACTTATAGTAGAACTGAGTGGAGTTCAACCCTTCAGGAGGCCGGGGAACTCAGTCTGGGCCTTGCAGCCCGAGCTCAGTCTGCTTTGTGGATTCTGCCACCAGCTAGCTGAGGTCAGGGGACTCGGTTCTGCACATGGCAGCACATATTGTATATTACGACAGCAGTGATATAGTCTGAAAGAGGCCCTTCAAACTCATTTTTGTTTCTTTTTTTCATCCCACTCTGCAAATTTTTTTTTCTTTTTGTTTTCTTTCTCTCTTCCTCCACTATAGTATCCCTCATCTTCCTTTTTGTTTCTGATCTTGTCCTAGTTCAGTTTTCTTCTTTTATTATTTTTTTCTCTTTATTTTTTTTTCTTATGCTATTCTACCTCACTCAAGGGTTATTAGACTTCTATTTTGTTTGTCCTTTTTTAATTTAACAGTTTCCTGATGATTGTCTGGTCATTCTACATCTTTTGGCTTCATATGAAACCTTCTCTAATTCTTTTACTTATCTACTCCTCTCGCCTTAACTCTGTCTTAAGCCCCCATCTTAAATGGTAAATATCCTTATTGAAAAGTTTATTCACTGTAAGCATATTTCGGATTGCTTCTTGATTTTAATTTAATTCACATGGTGTGAAGGTGATGGACTGATGACTACCATAAGTGGCCAGTTTGCAAATTGTGCCTCATTATATTGTGGTGCTGATTGTATCAGTTAGGATAAAGGATTGTGATTGATTCAATGAGCTGTTTTCTTTGGTACTATGAAAATGAGAATGTCTGTGAGTCATTAGAGACCCATGGGCTGCAGCC